ACTTTCTAACTGCATGATGTTGAGATATATCTGGACACAGAGGTGAGTACATAATAAATGGCTTATTGAAGCACTCTGCCAAAGACTTGAAGCACCCCTGCCTGTCTTAGCTGAGTGTGTCAGACTGCAGGCCTAACTGTGCTCTGACCCTGAGTCATTCCTGTAACTATTCAGGTAGACAGTTCCAAGAAGAAAAACAGGGTACCACAGCATCACTACTGTACGACTACTTGCAACACCTATCACATCACACCATGGGACTTGGGGCAAGGCAACCAGTGTTGCCATGTTGATCCTCCTGCTGTTTGCTGTGTCATGGGTACCACACTGTCTTGCTCTGAGGCAAAGAATGTCATTGTTTACTTTCACACCTGCAAAGTTATGGCAAACCAACCCAACCTCCTTCCTTGCTTAGGTATCATCTCTGAAGTCTTGTTACTCCTTGCTGTTCTCTATGAGGCTGAAATTCTTCCCAGTAAACATTACATTATACTATGTGATAAAATAATATCATGTGTATTTCCAGGTTTATGGCTACCTGTATTCAGACTCCTCTAGGATTTCTACCCTTCCCCTGATCTACTGACCTTGGAAAGCACAGTAATCATGTACTTCTAGTGGCTGATAAGAGAGTATAACCTTGAACTCACTGACTTTCAGTATATTTAGAGAAGGTTGACTAAAAGAGAGCCATTCCCTGAAATTTATTCCCAAATTGTGGCCAACTGTCAGAGAGGCATGCCTCAAAACCACTGTGTTTGGCCCTGACTGTTGACTGTTTTTACTGAATTGTTCTTTAAGGCAGCAGTATGAGGCTACATTGAGATCTTATATGGACCAAACATGTGGAATTCATGCATTATCCATATTTAGAGAAACCAACTTAAATTTCTTCTAGGGAGTGGAGTTACAAATGAATGTAAAAATGAACAAACAAATTAATGAAATTGAAAAATCATTCCACTATCTAGCTTTTATAATAATATAATAATAAAACCAAACTCACTGCCATTGAGTTGATACTGACTCATAGCGACCCCTACTGGGTTTCCAAGGTGGTAAATCTTTACGGAAGTAGGTCACCCCTTCTTCCTTCCATGGAGCAGCTGGTGGGTTTAAACTGCCAACCTTCTGGTTAGCAGTCAAATGCCTTAGGCATTACCAGAGCTCCCTTTTATAATAATGCAAATGCAATACAACCATTGCTGTGGAGTCTACCCAACACAAAGCAACTCCTCCTTGGGTTTCCAAGGCAGTAGGGAGTAGATTGCCCAACCTTCCTTCTGGAGAGTGGCTAGTGGATTTGAACCACCAGCTTTCTGGTTAGCAGTCAAGTGCCTCAGGCACTATGCTACCAGAGCTCCCTTTATAATAACAGGGATATTAAAAAACAAAAACAAAAGAGAGAGAGAGAGAGAGGAGTTAATTATTTTGAACAACTATTATATGCCAGGGACTTTTGGGGGTGCTTTACTAACATTATTTTAGTCCTCACCTCATACTATCCCTATGAGGCTGCTATTACTAGCTCCATCTTACAAATGAGAAAACTTTGGCGGAGAGGAAATAATTGGCATAAAAGCAACAAGATTCAATCTCTGGAATGCCTGACTCTAATAGCTATGTTCTTTCTAGTTCACCTCACTGTTACATTGTTACGTTATGTGCTGTCGAGTCAGCCGGACTCATAGTGACCCTCCTTGGGTTTCCGAGGCAGTATCACTACAGAAGTAGGATTGCCCAACCTTCCTTCTGAAGAGTGGCTGGTGGGTTATCCAGGACATTAATCTTCCCTCTCTTCTTCAGTAGCAACCAAGACAAAAACCACAGAGTACAAGCCAAACTACTTCCCTCTTCCTGGTAAGGTTTTCACTGAAATTTCTTTGAGCATAAGGTGTGCTCTGGTGCCACCTGCTGGCAGCCTTGCATATGCGGATTTTTCTTTGTAAACCCTTCTACCTCTGAAAAGGAGAAACCATCTAGTTCCAAAAAAGGCAAGAAGCTCAAGGCAGACAACCAGCTGGGAAATAAACTATAAGGGAGGAAAAATTATCATCCACCTCCTCCAGGGGCAAATCTGTTCTCCTTCCAAGCTGCTCTCAATTTCATTTGATTTCACCTGTCTGCATATATTGAAAGAAAAAGCACCAAAATCTAAGGTTGGATTCTCTTCATCAGACCATCTAAACGTAAATGCCGCTGTCTTGACTGAGTGGGGTAGTCCATGGCCCCAGCATGTAACACTAACCACCACACTGACAACCAACAAACCATGGGTAACAATGCCCTTGATCCAGAAGACTCTAAGGGGATGGCAAAGCAAGGCTTGGTCTCCTCAGATGAGGTGGGACTCAGGACAAGTCAAGCTGCCTTATGTCCTGGTCCTTTACTGTGGGCAGCTAGGATTACAAGTTGAGTCCATTCCCTTCATTAAAGGCATCCATCCATGCTATGCACACACACATACACACATGCACACACATGTATACACACCCACACATACACACACCCTGCAGAACATAATCATTTGTCATCTGAGGTGGATTGCTGGATTCTTGTTTTTCTTTGTTTCCCTTGACAAAGTGACAAAGTGGGGAAAAACTCTTCCTGGGGGCGGCAGAGCTTGTTTCTGACTGTTGGGAAAAAAGAAAGCAGGAATTGTTGTCACGACAATTAGGAGCTCATCAAAGCCTCATTTCGCTCGTCAGCCATCATTGCCCTTCATCCCGCACCCCCGCATGTTCCCTTAATTCAATGCCTGCCTAATGAATAACTCCCAGGAACAAAAGACCCTTTCAGGCGGGCTCACATAATTGTTAGAGGAGACTTGCATAACTGTCGCAGACCACTCATGTTTTCAGGCCTGTCTCTAAATTTGGTTGTTCACAACCTTTATAGCTCAATATTATTGCCTAACTGTGATCATTTTCTAATTATCCTAATAATACCTATTAAATAATTCCCATTAAATCACTTGAACTGGAGCAGCACAGGCCAGCTCAAATACACTTAACCTAATAAACATTGGCCATTCATTAAGCAACAGGGCAATCTCTTAAAGGGGCTGAATGGAATATTAAACTGCAAAGGAATAGTATTATTGCACAAATGTTATTACAAGTTCGAGTGTATTAATTTTGATGCCTGGTTTGCAGACCTTCCATTTGCTTTCCTTTGGGGCCACTCTTCACGACTTGACTCTTTCAGTCTCCAGCCCCTTGTTTATCTGCATCTGTCACCCACCCAAGGACAATCAAGGAAAACAAGGCCCATAAACTTAGCAGGAAATTAAATTACCAAGGATATAAAGGGAATGAATGGAATCCATCTTCTGGCTGGGCTGGGCCCACCTTTGAAACCATCGCAAGCTGGCTGGCTTTCTTTAGCTGGTAACTCAAAATAGCCTTTCTTTATATTTGGGAGTAAGGGAGATTTTCAGAGGAAGCTTAAAAAAATTGATCTGTATAACTTAAATTTAAAGCAGTAAAGATTAGAGAGCTAATTTCTTAAAAGTGGATATGTGTATATAACAGTATTTTAAAAAATAATATTAGATGGTCTTTATTAAATGCCTATAATGCCGTAGATATTCTGGTAGACACTGTCCATCAATATTACCAATTCTTGAAACAACCTGGTAATGTGGGGATTGCTATCTCCATTTTACAGATAAGAAATCTGAGTTCAGAGAGATTAAATTATTTCCCCAGGACCACATAGCCTAAATGCACAGAATGGAATTTGAACACAGGACTCCTGAGAGTCTGCAACTCTACATTTCCCACTATGCCACACTGCCTCCCTGCATTAACAGCAGGCTGAAACATGCCTTACTTACATTTGGTGGCTATGTGTCTCATTTCCAAAGCTTGCCTTGAAAGCAGAGGATTTCAAAAGACAAGGACCTGGGCCTTCTTGGTTTGGAACAAGACTGAACACCAAACAAGAACAGTTCATTCTATCCAACATCCCAACAGCAGCTGTGGAGATGAGCAGTGCTCCTCACTCCAAGCAGGAAAAAGTCATCATTTGTTTGAATCTAAGAATATGAAGCTATCATGGAATCCCCCCAAAAAAAACACAACTGGAGTTGAGTCAATTCTGACTCCCAGTAACTCCACTGGACAGAGTAGAACTGCCCCACAGGATTTTCAAGGTTGTATATTTTTATGGTAACAGACTGCCACGTCTTGCTCCCATGGAGTGGCTGGCAGATTTAAACCATTGACCTTTTGGTTAGCAGCTAAATGTTTTAACTACTGTGCTACCTTTATTGCTTTACCTTATGCCAGGCAACGTGCTAATTTAAGCATTGCATATTTATTTTACTGCTTTAGTTCTTGTATGAATGCTTTAAGGTAGTCAATGTATCATCCCTGCTTTAGATGAGAAAATAAACCTTCAGAAAGGTTTATAAGATGACTGGCCTAAGGTTGTATAGCTTGTACTTTGACTAAATCTGGGCTTTAAATCTCTACAAACACAGCTTGAATGCCTAAATATTTCTCATGAATTTATCTTCATTCCTAAATTGCAAAGAGTGTTTACTCCAGCAGAAGAGAGGAGGTAGGCGAGAAGCTCAGTTACAAGGCCCACTGGCCAACCATGTCCCAGGGAATTTCAAATTGGACCTCCCGTTGGATTTTTAAAGTCTGAAGCAGTTGTGGATTTAGCACCACATGTCCACACTCACAGAGCCATAACCTGTAAAAAAAGTCTCATTGTTTTTCCCACATGGTTCCCAAACCAAACCAATTACCATTTAGTTCATTCCAACTTATAGCAACCCTATAGGGCAGAACAGAATTGTCCCATAGGTTTCCAAGCCTATAAATCTTTATGGAAGCAAACTGCCTCATTTTTCTTCCATGGAGCAGCTCTTGGGTTCAAAATGCTGATCTTTCGCTTAGTAGTCAAGCACTTAAACACTGCGCCATCAGGGCTCCTGCAATATTACCATGTCGCAGAATTCAGCCCTTTGGTCCACTCACAGGCCATACCTGCTTCTCCTCTCAGCGCTTTCTCCAGCCTCACGCCCTGGATCTCGGACGCCCTCTGCCGCTCCTCTACCTCCTCCAGCTGCCTCTGGATGGCCTGCAACACCAGGATCAGAGGTCACACAGCGACCAGTCATGTGCAGAGGCACAGAAGGGGGCCCAACTTGGCCACTTACTCTCCATTGCAGTTTCCCCTCCTTGATTAACTGGATAATGCCCTCTGAATCCCAACAACCCAGATCTTGACATTTTCCTTTTTCAGTATGAAAATGCAAAGCAAGGAATTTGTGTATATAGTCAATCTGCCCCCAGGCAGGGGTTAAAACGGTCCCAGTTGACAAGGCCGATTGCACAGAAATTTGCACAGGCAAGAGCTGCTGGGCTAGGTGAGCAGTCCCAGGGTTTCTGTGTCTAATGGCTCCTAGATTATTGGGAGACCACAGCCTCTGACTCTAGTGACAGTGTAATGACTGCAGCTGTAGCCACTACACAGAAGTGGGGCAAGGGTTCTAAGGGCAGACACAGAGCCCACTCCCATTCCATTTCCTCAAGAAGAACCATTACATCGGTTCCAAGATGGCCTGGAGCAGGAGGCCCAGGGCCAACTCCTGGGGCTTGGTGTTCCTTTCTCGGACTGTCCTGCTCCCATCCCCAGCTACAAACTGTACCCATTCTTTCCCTGCACCACAGAGCTAATGCCTAGGGTTCTTTTATTGTGGAAGGGTACTGTGGCTTTATTACTGGCAGGTTATTAAGACAAGACACAAGCCATTTAGCCTATTAAGAAAGAACCTCACACCTGCCTTAGACTAACCACAGGCACCTAATTAAGGGTCATGACTGGCTTTGGATTTATACATTTATTTTCCCTACTAGCTACTTCTCTCTTGTGTATATTAGTAAAGAAAATTAGGGGGAAAATCTTTCCTATGTACATTTTATCAATTTCCATCTTTTTTTTCCCCTGGTTTTAAACATCTCTTTGCACGCTAATGCAGAACACATGTGTGCTTCCTGCTTCTCCCTCACTTCAGCTCTGTCTCACTCCCCTTCCTTCCTAAATCCACAGCTCTCCCCTTGATTCAGGGGCGTGAAACACCTTCAACCCTATGAAGAGGTCCAAGCAGAAGTAGGACCTGGCTCCTCTTGTCCTAGCTTAGGACAAGAAATAGAAACAGGTGGGACTTTCATTCTAAATTACTTGTACTTTCGTGCTTTTTCTCCCTCCTCTCTTATAAAGACAATTATATCTTTATAACTTCATCTCTTGGTGTTATAGTGCAGAATTTCTAAAGGAAAGGAAAAATTTTAATGACTTTATTACTGATTACTGTGCAGTTATGGCTATGTGGTCATTCTTTAAAACCAAAGATGGAAGTTGTCTCAAAGACTACTAAGGACCATTATGAGTGCCAGCAGATTAGGACTCAAAAGGCCATCTTTGTTCTTCTCTGGTCACCACCTACTGTCTAGATTGAAAATATATGGCTGGGAAATTTGCTGAGTTTGCCAATATGTGTCATAAAGACTTGTCTTGTTCTTAGAAGGAAAAGTTGAAATGATTCATGGGAACTTGTTTGAGGAAATTGAGAGTGGACAGAGGTGGATTTATGGAATTTTCCTGTCTATTAGGAGAAAAGGGTGGCTGTTGATTCAGTTACTACCAGGAGAGGGGAGGTTGGATTAAATGACTTCCATCTTGTGAGAAACAATGCACAGGATTACATAGTCAGATAAAGGGAATAACTAGAGAGAGGGATACAGGGTATACAATAGATTAATATGAGTAGTCATTCTAAGTCCTTAAGACACAAAACCCAACTGTTCTTCAAGACTCACTTTGGGGTCCTCAGGGAGATGAAGATTGCTCTCAAAATCTATATTGTCTTCATTGGAATGCTGGGTACTTATGTTTTAAACTAATCTGGGAGTAAAGACAGCCCCTAGTACTTGTCCATTCAGTGAAGGCACTGAAAGGAAGTTGGTGGAAGATGTGTATCCTCGTAGAAGACAAAACTAGGGTCACTGCTTTGCAGCAATCAGGGCTCAGGATGATTTCCAAGGCCATTGTATTGGTTTTTGCTCTAGTCTCTTTTTGCAGAACACAGGGTTGTGGATGAAAGGTAGCTGGGAGAAGGCCAATACCTGGGCCCAGAGTCCCATGAGAGATTGTACAGGGGCCTTCAGAATGGCCACAAAGCCGGCCCATTACAGAGGTCAGACTGACCTTTTCCAGGCCTCCTCTTCTACAATGCAGATCTGCAAAGCACTTTCAAACCTAGATTTCCAGGATCTTGAGCCCCAGGCCCACTCACTATACATAAGTTTGTTTTCTGACCTGAGCTTTATGAAGTCTTTTCAATTCTTCTTGCTTGATCAGTTGCTTTGTTGCTTTTTCCAATTTCTTTCTCGTTCTAAGTGTCTTTCTCTCCTATGAAAATCAATAGAGAAGAAAAAGAAAAAAAAAAATGTGTCTGAGAAAATGAAGTTGAAATTTATTAAAATACTGTCATATCCTTCTGTATTCTCCAGTCAGTGGTTCCTAGCCACTGCTTAGGTTAAATGCTTAGCATCTAGAGAGGTGCCCTCCAACAGAACTTTCTTCAGTGATGGAAATGTTCAATATCTTTACTGTGTAAAACATGGAAGCCACTAGCCATATGTGCCAAATGGGCACTTGAAATGAAGCTATTGTGAATAAGGAGTTTAATTTTATTTAATCTTGATTAATTTTAATGTAAATTCAAATAGCAACATGTGACTACCAGCTGTCATACTGGAAAATGGTAGATCCAAGCAGGCTCGTCTCTTATGGCTCGCCATATATCAACATATAGCCAGTAGGTTCTGTACTGGGAAGATGGTATGTATGTGAGGGGTGTATATGTAGGTGTGCAGGCAAGAGCAGCTTTAAAGAACATTGGCTTGATTTAGTTGAAGGAAGAAATAATATATGAATTATATTTTACAGAGGTGCTACCATAAAGTCCAGGGATGACTGGTCTGGGACACAAAGATATACACAAGTATAACATATAAAACCCAGTTAACAACCTTAAATAGTCCTTAGGTTGGGTCTATATTGCCTTGTAGATCTTGAACAGAGGAACATATCTAAATAATTCAGATTAAAATGTTTCTTGGCTTGAGGTAGACATAAGATTACTTCCTTTCCCTATTTCACATTGCTTGTACAAACACAACATTAACATGCATTTGTGTGGAAGATGGGGTAATCTACTTCTATAGTGATACTGCCTTGGAAACCCAAGGAGGGGTCGCTATGAGTCAGGTCCAACTCAACAGCACATAACAACAACCACAGACTTGCAGAAAGAAAGAAACAAACAAAAAGAGCATTCAAAATCGATACATGTAAAATCAGTGTGTGGATCCTGGGGGTGTCCCTTCCAGATTCAAGCACCAGAGAAAGGAGAAGTCATTGTGCAGCCAGGTCAACACAGTGGGAAGTTCAGGAGCCACTTTTGACTGGGGAAGCAGCAGAGAGTCATGGTTGAGCACAGAGCCCAGCTGAGCTGTTCAAGTCTTGGCAAACCACACAACTTACTGAATTTCAGTGAATTCTTTGGAGCAATGGAAATCATTTTAATGCCTACCTTGTAGGGATGTAATAACGATCAAATGAGATAATGCAGGTCAAGCCCTTCACAGAATTCTTGAAAGAGGTATGGGAAAAATAGTAAATGTTCGCATGACTATTATTGTACTTTTTTACTAAAATTGATGATTGTCCTTCTGCATATTTTTGTGTGATATATACATACATACATATATATATATATATATATATATATATATATATATGTTATAAATACTCCCTTATATGTAAAATGTATTCAAATTGAGCTACTTTTATTAAGAGTTTGCCTTCTCTGGCCACAACTATCAGCTTTCTACACAGTAGGATGAGAATAAGAGCATGTTAGAGATTTATTTTAATACTGGCAGGAACAAATATAGAATTTTAAAAAGTGCTATAGCTAGCCTGGTACCTGGGAATTCAATATCTGTGGTTAAGCTGAATGTTTGCCCATTAAAAGGACCATACGTTTTCAAGTGGAAGATAGAGACATAATAGGGTGGATCCCAGATACATTAGCAGAATCAGGTTTATGGCCTGATTGTGCCTTAAAAGCACCGTGGTTTCCAGGGCTTTGTGAATCCTTGTCATTTTGTCACCCATCTCATGGATATGAGTACAAAGACCACCACACACCTTAGGAAAGCATACAGCTCTGAGGCTTCAGAATCTTTGCATCAGTGAAGATATTAGTTTGAAAGATGAAACTTTTCTTTTTTAGAGAATTTTCCTTAGGATCTGTGACTCTAAGGATCTTCTTCAACATTGGGAGAAAATTTTTGGAATTTTTTGGAATGAACTCAGAACTCAAGTTTATTCTGTAGCATATCATCTCTCTTTGTAGGGCATGACTTCTAGATTGCCTGTCAACTCCTCTGACTGGAGGTCCCAGTGTTTTTGGATGGGCAAACCCCACCATTAGATAGCCAGGACCTTTGGGGGCAGTTTGGGAGGGAAGATCAAAGATGGTTGCTGCTCAGAGATTGTCCAACTCAATCTATGTGAACAACCAGGTTATCGGTTTAACAAATATCTCTTGAGCATCTGTTATACTGACCTACATGATAAATCCCAGTGTCAAGTATTATGTGTCAGACACTGTACTAAGGACTTTCAAGAAACCCTGGTGGCACAATGCTTAAGTGTTCGGCTGCTAAGCAAAAAGGTTGGCAGTTCAAACCCACCTAGTGGCTCTGTGGTAGAAAGACTTGACATTTTGCTTCTGTAAAGATTACAGCCTAGAAAACCCTATGGAGCAGTTTGACTTTGACACATAGAGTTGCTAGGAGTCAAAAATCAAAGTGATGGCACCTAACAACAACAATATGTGTCAGACACTGTACTAGACTTTACATGTTGTTGTTGTTGTTGTGTGTATGTACCATCTCATTAAACCCTCAATGACATTCATGTCATAGATAAGGAGATCAAAGCTCAGAGAAGTTAAATAACTTTCCCAAGGTTAGCGTAGCTAGTAAGTGGTAGAGTCAGGATTTAGCTCTAGGTAGCCTGACTCCAATAGTCACATTTTCTTCTAGTCAGCACCACCTTTCCTTGTGATGAATACTGTTCAGGCATACCTAGGACTACTGCTCTAGAGTGGGTCCTATAGAAAAGAAATGTCAAAGTTTCTTTTTCCCAAATAAAGAACATTAATACAAGTTCAGGGAAGGAAGGTTGGGCAATCTACTTCTGTAGTAATACTGCCTCGGCAACCCAAGGAGGGGTCGCTATGAGTTGGGTGCAACTCGACAGCACATAACAACAACAACAACAACAACATGATTTCAAAGTGGGAGGGGAGGTACTTGACAGCATCACACAATTTTAGCACTTTTTTAGCAGCAAAACTGTCAAACTCGACTGCTTCAGCAGAAGTCGGCAAAACCGAACCCACACCAAGAAAGAAAGTCACACATTGCCTTTTATTAAAAGGTATCGCACCAGGCACAGTTCTAACATGCTCAGTGATGATGATGACAACACAGACAGATGACAACACTTTCCAGGAAGGAAGCTAAGGACTAAAGAAGAAAAAGCTAAAGGGAAAAGGGAGAAAGCTGCCTGGCCCTGCCCGGCTCCGTCTCTTCCACTCAGGTGTGGGTCTGGGAGGAGAGGTGGTGGCAGGGAAGGGCGAAGCAAAGGGAATGGCAGAGAGGATATAGCGTGGCTCCAATTTCCTGGCCAAAGGTTCATTTGAGCTGATGTAGGCTCTGTGCCAGGTGGCTGGGGGCACACACCTGCACTGAACGGAAGAGACAAAGAAACCAGAGGACAAAGAACTCCCCTCCTTCCAATGTGTGAGCCCTTGAGAACCCGTAAAGAATAATTGTCTTGCCAGCTTCCCATCCTGTAAGAGCAGGCCAGGTCAGGAGCCAGATGAAACAGGCCTTCTTTACCAGCCATCGGGCTCCCGAGCCACCTGGCTCAGTTCTGGGCCAGCAGGTGGATGAGGAGCTATTTGCAAGGTTGGTCTAGGATATTATGGTCTTGCTACTGCAATTTATCTGGGACTCTCTATTCTTTCTTGCTCCATAAGTGCATGGATGGCTGATGCTGGGGCCCCTAATTCATTTGAATGCAGGATTAATTCAGGGTCATCCACTCAAGGGGATGAGAGGGCCTGTAAGGAGAACTCAGAAATCAGCAGAGCACACAGAATACATTTGCGCTGAGTAGTGAACTAATTAGAGATGCCCACAGTGAGATATTTACATCCACACCTACTCTCTCTCTCTCTTTTTCTCACACACACACACAGAGGCGTATCTAAGGAATGACAGGTATGGCACATGCCCTGGGAGCCACTTGAAGGGGCGTGTCACTGAGCATTTTCTATTAACCATCACAGTTACCATTGCCAGCTGTGAGAAACTGGGCAGTTAATACTAATACAAGTTCCCCTCCCCCCATCCCCAATCTGAAAGTAGAGGTCCCTGTGAAGCCCTCCCTAAGCCCAAATGGTGTAAAGCCAAGAAGCAATTACCATTCATTGATACGGGAAAAACTTTTGAACATTTTCCAGGACCCCAAAATAACCTATCAAATCACGCCAAATAACACATATAACCCAAAAGAACTCTAACATATAGTGTTCACAGACACAGTCAAAGACATGGCGGCTTATGCTGGGATGCTGGGTGTAGTTCCGGGGAAGGGGCTTGAGGCCACTCTTGGTGCCCCGGCTGCACGCCGCTTCTTTAACAGCTCTGCTGCAAAACAAACGCTGAACGCTAGGTTTGCTTCTCGCCTTTTTCCATACAAGCGAAATCCTTTTGAGATTTCTGACGTTCGTGAAAGCAGGTACTGAAGTAGGTCTTTTGTAAAAGCGAGTGGCGTATTGGGAACTTTGGAAAAGTAGGGGACACCTGCACTTTTGTATTTGGGAGCCTCCAGGGGTCAATGCAGACTGTGCGATCTTTTCCTCACCCCCACCTTGTTTCCACGCCCAAGGGGCGGAGCCGGTAGTCGGGTGGGCAGAGAAACTTACTTCTTGCTACCTAGCCTGGGTCTGGGTGTGGGCATTCGTTTGAGCGTGGTTATCTCCAGTGAGCCGTAGAGATTTGGAAAAGCAGCCCCGAAGAGGCCAGCCCCACTGCACTTCGCTTTCCCACTCCCCGCCCCCCCCTTAGAGAATCCTGTCGTCCTTCTTGTGCTCCCCTTTGTGGTGGGTGGGCTCGCTGGGCTGCAGGGCAGTCTCACAGCCCGGCCGGCCGTTCCTCCTCCTCTCTGAGCTCCGCTCCACCCTGCTATGACTGATTCCCAACCGCCCTGCTCTTTCGCAGGCCGGGGATGACAGACTATCGGGTGGGCTGGACGGTGGACCTCGTCTGGCCTGAGCGCACGCACTGCGGACCGCAGACACCGGCGTGTCCAACGTGTGCGGCTGTCCCGGAAGCGGTTTAGGTTAAGACTCCTGCACCGCGGGGCTCTGGCACCGCCAGGAAGGTCGGGCTTGTTCTGCTGAGTGTAGAAAGAGAAGAAACTGAAAAAAGGACTCTGAGCACATCATAGCTCAGTTTTCATCTGTGAAAGCAAGGAAGGTGCAGTTACAATTTTCAGGTAGTGCCACAATATGTTAAGTAAAAGATTAGCAAGCTTGACTTGTATTTTTGAGCTGGTATTATGGTAAAGTTATCAAAAAGATGGCTGTCAGATGGTAGGACAAGGGAGAAATGTCAGTGCTTGCCATGGGCGCTATTTTCTGTTAGATATGCCTCTGTATACATAGCCCTTTTAAATTCTATCTCACACACACAATTAGGGCACATCCCAGCCCCTCCTGACGTACCCCAGGCTGGGCTGTGGGGAGCAGGAACCCCTGAGTGACTTGAGATGACGCCAAAGCTCCAAACGCCAGATATGGAAAAGTTGAGTCTAAGTAAATAAATGCGGCCCTGCCCAAATCTTCACTGATCCAACAAACACACACTGCCAGAGCAGTGAACCGCCTCTCCACCCCAGGAAACATCTCGGGTCCAGTCATTCACTCTTCAGTCCCAGCCCCAAAGGAGAAGGAAAATGTCAGTGGGACTTCGTTGTGGCATGCATGTCTCTATGTGTGACACGCAGGTACATTTTCAAACATATAACGATGATTGTGTGTGTGTGTGTATGTATATATATATATATATATATATATATATATATATATATATATATATATATATATAATCGATGGGCATGAGATTTATTTAAAGTGTTCTCCAGAAATATGAATGTTCCCTAAGCAAAGATGGGAACTGTGGCCCTCATGGCTGAGGACGTCCCCACATTTGGAACCCTCCAAGCATCCATGTCTACATGCAACTGCATGGCTCATTTAATATTTCTGATTAGAATAAACATAACATTTTCCATGCAGTCTGCCTCTAGTGCTTCTTAAATGAAGCTGTGCTTCCTCCAGGGAAATGTGCATCTGCTTGTTACAATTTTTTCGATGGTTTGCTTGTTGGACTACATATTAAACCTACTTTAAGAGTTGCAGTCACTAAATGGTTTCAAGTGAATATGTCTGTGTATTTTTCTTTCCAATCTGAGTCTCTGGGAAACACAAGCCTGTAAAAGTTGAAGAAAAACTAGGTAATTCTTGGGGTGTTCCAGGTAATGAGAAAGGCTGCTGTCAGATGCAATGAAACATGATCCCCCACATGAAACCAATGCAGCGGAGTCCACATTGGTCTGCAATCTGGATAGCAAATGGCCCCCCTCAAGCCAAGGACCTCTTTGGTGTGCCAAGTGCTGTTACCTTTGACCACAAGGAAGGCTGGGGATCAAATTCTTCATCTGCAGAGGAGGAGGTGGTGGAAGAGAGGGAGGAGGCAGTCTCTGTCACCTGTGCTCGAGTGGGGATGTGCTTGGGCCCTGAAATGGGAGAAGAACTCACTGAACTACTAGCTTTGTTCCCTGCTTCATAAACCAAAGCTGCCTCTCCCTCCTCCCCTTTAGGCCCCCCTTTTCCTCGCTGCCCACCCCTCACTGCACCTGCCGTGAGCATGAGAAGGCAGTACCTAAGGGCAACTGGAAATTTGGCGCTCCACATTAATTACATTGTTGGGTCCCTGCCAAGAGCTTTTCAGCTCTCTTTTCATATTAAAAAAAAGAAGAAAAAAAAATCAATTAATTCTTTAAACACCATTTACATTGTGTGTTGCATAGAATGCATTCAGAGATGAAATCTATTATTAAAATGCATGTCTGAAGTTAGCTGAGTTACCTAAATGCTTGTGTAAGGTTCGCTCTGTAGAGTAATTGAATGCAAAAAAGTCAGAGCCAGCTCTTAAACAAATCGCCCTTCTGCGGCTCCCAGCATCTGGCACCCATTTTTACTACATGACATCTGCTCAGTGTAAAAGAGCTGGCGTCAGAATGTCTGGTCATAGAAAAAAAAATCCCAAATGTAATCAGAAGCAAAAGGACTTTAAGCCTAAGGTTTTATCACACAGTCTCATGCAACATAAATATTTCATTAATTATGGCTAAACAAATGCCACTTTTATTTTCCCAACTTGCAGATATTATCACATCATCGAAGTGATGATTCAAATGCCAGGAAACGGCAGTTTAAGATAGGGGTGGCTCAACAATGCAGGGCCCTTGGGAGAGCTGGGGTTGAGAAGAACTGCCAACCTCCAAACAAGAGAGGCGGGTGGTCCAACCAGCACACTGCCCGTGTCAGTCGGAACCTATCTGTGAACTGGCTGGGCACCACATATGCTAAGGTCTTCCAGGGGCCACAGGAGGCTTTTAGTCATCCCAGCAAAAACGTCTTCCCCTCCCATCAATCTGATGCAGAGTTAATGATTAATATCTGGATTAGTCCACCCTGGACACTGAATATCAGAATGAGCCGGGACTCCATGATAGGAAATTTAGCAATCTTTACTCTGCATGGCAGCTTATAACTGAATGGAAATATGTGTCAGGGGATGGAGGGGGAAGCAGGCCAGAAGAAGAAGTAATTCTAACATTCTCTCCAGCCTGTTTTTTCCTCCCCATAATTTTCAACTATTCATCCAAGTGGGAGAAGCCAAGTTTTAAAAAATAAGGGTAATTGTAACCTCCAGCAGCACATTTACATACGCTGTTATTTAAAGCAAAATAATGCAAGACACGTATATAATAGCACAGCCTCTCTGGGGAGAGAGTTAACTGGTTTCTACTTTATTGCCAGATGGGAAAGCTCAGGTAAATATAGAAGCAGAGAGCAGCATAATAATGGTAGGAGGTCTTGTTAGTGGTGAGCTGAGAGTGTTTCCTAGCTCCAGTCCCTAAATTACCACTGAGTAAGTTTGTCACCGAGAGCCCCTGGGTGGTACAAACAGTTAGCATGCTCGCATCCACCTGGAGGCTTCTCTGGGAAAAGGCCTGGCGATCTACTACCGAAAATCAGCCATTGAAGCGGAGTCTCACTCTAACCCACAAGTGATTGCCTTGAGTTAGAATTGACTGCATGGCAACTGGTAACCTACAGTCACTGGGAATTCAGCTCTTAGCTATGTGAGCTTGAGGAACTAACTTTACCTCCCTGAGTTTCTAGGGGAATCATGATTTCTAACTTGTGGAATTGGTGTGGAAGAGTAACGATTATCACTGCAAAGTACCTAGCACAGTGCCTAGTATATTGCAGGTGCTTAAAAAAGGCTGTTGTCATCATCATCTTCATCTTTATCATCAGCATCGATCCAAATGAACAATATTACAGCTTTTTCTCAGAAAGTAGAGTTATTAGAAAAATTTCCTAATTAACCTCCATTTAATAGAATAAGTATAATAAAGTTGATACTTTTTCTAATAATCTCAAGAATAAATCTAATATTTACATTGAGTTTCATTTTGAAATGGAGGAGAAAATGCTCCCAAATATAATGTATTTCTTAATCTTCATGTAAGAAAGAAGTTAAGCACTGCAAAAATAAAATAAAATAAAAAAAGGAAGACTTTATGATAATTGACTGAGTTTCTTCCCCTTCCCCTTCTCTTTTATGGAACTATGAGCTACAGTTCACTTCTCGTTCACAAAAGTTAAAAAACTTGGCAGGGTTCTTCTACTTTGGCCATTTTGGAATGACTGATACTAGAATTTATCTCTCAGAGCAAAGAACTAGAAATCTGGACAAAACATATGAAGCAGCTATATCCAGACAATGGACTACAGGCAGTGCAGAACTGTGATACAGGAAACAACAGAAGCCTATGAGGTAAGCACTGGAGTCACCCCAAGCTTGCTGGGATGGAGTCATTCTGCCTAGGGACACTTTGCAGATCACAGTGCAGGGAGGACTAACCCAATCAGACCACAACAGATTTACTGGGTCAAGAAGACAGAGATCAGAGTTTGGAGAGGCAGCTGAAGTTTGTGTGGCAAGGTACAGAAGATGAAGAATCTATGCAGTAAAAGAAATCTAGAAACACACATAGGAGTCCCTCTGAGCCTATTTCTTAATAGTAAACTACACAGCCATAGAGTGAAACTCCATGATGTTGGACAAATAGTTGCTGGAGCATTGGAGACTAAATAAGCCACAAAGCTTTTACAGTCCTTGGAGATGTTAAAGTTTTACTCGGCCAGTGTAAAATAAACATCGAGGGCACTGGGAGAGACAACAGAGAGTTACACTTCAGTTGTAGGAATAAATTAAGCCCAGAGTAAAGGTTATTCTAGACTCACCTGAACAAAGCCTAAAATTAAACCTTGAAAGGAACAAAGTATTCCGTAGATTACTTTACTGAGTGCCAAACATACTTTGCCACTTTTTTTTAATATATATTGAAATGAAGAAACAAAACCTAGGTAATCTAAGATGTGATGTTCACAAGTCTAGCAGTCAGTAAACAATTAATAGACTAATGTCTTTAAGTCTGACTTGCAAAAAATCAGGACAAAGGGTCTGAATGAAGAGAAAAATTAGTCAGTAAAAACAGACCCAGAAATGACAGAAATCATAGGATTAGCAGATAATGATTTAAAATAGCTCTTCTAAATATGCCTGAGAATTGAAAAAGAAGACATTAACAAAATATGGACAGAAGCAGAAGATATAAAAAAGAATCAAATGGAACCTATAAAGATGAAAAATACAGCATCTGAAAGGAAAATTGCATTCGGTAAGCTTATCAGCAGATTAAACACTTCGGAAAGCAAAGAAAATCAATGAAATAAAAGCACAGAAATAGAAAGTACCCAAAATGAAGTATAGAAAGAAAGAAGAGTCCAAAAATTTATCACAGCTTCAGTGACCTGTGGGACAATATCAAGTGATCTAAATATATGTGATTGGAGCAAAAGGGATAGGAAAGACAGCAACACAAAAAGCAGTTGAAGTAATAATTGCCGACAGTCATCTAAATTCAGTGAAATTATAGACCCATCGATCCAAAAAGCTCTACAAACCGTAAGCGGGAGAAACACAAGTAAAATCATAGCAAGGCTCAAGATAATCCAACTGCTGAAAAACAGAGAAAAGAGAGAATCTTAAAATCAGATAAAGAAAAATGATACATATAGAGCCAATTAGGGAGAAAGGAAATTGATTTACAGAAAATCTTGAATTACATTAAACATACATTGCCACCTACTACAATAAACAAAAATAACAGTACAGCAAACTGTGGGTCAGACAAACCTGTGTACAATTTTTGACTTTACTACTTCACTGCTAATGATGTTGGACACAAGTTATTTTAATCTTTGAGTTTCAATTTTCAAATTTCTAAATTGAGAATAATATCTCCCACAGTAAGTATGAAATTAAGTGTAAATAAAATTGGATAGCTTTGGAAGAAGGGATGGAGAGACCTCAAGTGTTGTACTTTTTACTACTTGGACATGTTCTCAGGAGGGACCAGTCCCTGGAGAAGGACATCATGCTGGGTAAAGTAAAAGGTTAGTGAAAAGGAGGAAGACCTCAACGAGATGGACTGACACAGTGGCTGCAACAATGGGCTCAAACATAGCAACAATTGTGAGGATGGCACAGGACCGGGCAGTGTTTCGTCTGTTGGTACATGGGCTTGCTCTGAGTCAGAATCAACTCGACAGCACCTTACAACAATTGAAGAGCTCAGAATCTGCTACCTAGTAGTGGTCACTGGAAAATGTTTTCTTTGCTTCCAGCTATAATGGGATATTTGTCATACAAAAAAAGAGGACATATATTATATGATCCTACTGATATGAAATGTCTAGAATAGGCAAACAGAGACAAAAATGTATTAGTTGTTACCAGGCACTGAGGGAGGGGAAAGTGGTGAGCAATTGCTTAAGCGGTACTGGTTTCTGTTTGGGGTGAACTTTTGTTAGTGGTGATAGTGGTTATGGTTGTATAACTTGGTAATGTAATTAATGTCACTGAATTGTACATTTAAAATGTATATACATCACAATTAAAAACAAAAAAGGCGAGGGGGAGCAGAAAGTCACAGAAGAGACTTCTGGTCAATTGCTTGGTATAAGTAAATATAGGTTTCCAGTCCGTCCCCTCGGTGACCTGAACAGTGTTTTGGGCACAGTGATGTATTTCCTGGGGAAAGTTTCCCCCTAAAGATTGTACTCTCCAAACCCATTGCTTTGCATAAATAGGAATGAAGAGTGGAAAATAAAAATGTTCCAAACAGAAGGAAATAAAAGCAATGTCATCTACAACAGCATCAAAAAATATTAAATACTTAGGGAAATAAAGCTTTTTGATTAAGATACCAAAGAAGATGTGTGTGTGTGTATACACACACATATATGCATGCATATACATATATATTTTTTTACTTGAAAATTAAATGTAGGATCACATTTTTTAAAAAGCAATTAAACAAGCATCAGCAACAAACAAAATTGTGTGAGTATTGAACTAAACCATCTCTAAGGATAACAATAGATAAAACAAAGTGGCAGATGTTTGCTTGCTTATTAATCTAATGATGATAACAAACTGCCGAGCATGAACCATAGACTTTTATAAGGAAAGAGCCACTTACTTGAGTCTTCTGCAGGAGGAGGATGGCCCATCTGCCCCAGGGAAGTATTCCTAACAGGCTGCATCAGCTTCTCCAGGCACTGAGCATTGTCCACGGGCAGTACCTTCCCCTTTGGGCCGCTAAAGAGGTCCCTGAGATCCATTCTTTGTCTGGATTCTTGAGAGAAACTCTCTGAAGGTTTGTCTTTGAGTCTCAGAGAAGAAAAGAATGTGAGTCTTCTATTTGGTACTCTGTTAGCATCTGGTGAAGTCTCTTGCAAACTCACTCTCTCTAGGAGTGTGGGGACATCTTCTATCTTGCTGCAGGGTGGAGACACAAGTTCAGGCAAGATCTTAGATGGACAGTGGGGCAGACCGTGGGTGCGGAGGGCAGGGTCAGGAGGACTAGGATCTGAGTGCTGGGCAGCCTTGGCTGTAGAGGTTCCCAAAGAGAAGAAGGAGAAGGCCCTGTTTGCCATGTCTCTCGCTTGGGACTGCTGGCCCCAGTCTTTATTGCAATTGGTTTTCCGAAGGCTGAATGAGCGAGTACAAGTGTTGGTCTGGCTGGTGGGCAAAGTCTTTGATTTGGGCTTGGCCCAGACCTTCTTCCCACCTTCAGAATTGGAGAGGAGGGGTTCCAGGGACTTTCGGATTGCATTTGCTATGAGACGCAGGGGGGACTTAGGTGGAGCTATATTTCGCTCTCCAGGACCCTGTTCAATTGGGGTCCCTTCCTTCTCCTGCGTATCTTTGTAGGATGACAGTGTGTCTCTAGTTGCCTGAGGAAGTGTCAAAGGATGGACTGGTTTCAGGACACGACCTCCTCTACCACTCTCAGAATTTTTCTGGGAAAGTTGCTCCCTGATGTTAAGCTGCAAGCTTGCTGGGATGGAGTCATTCCAATCCAACAACTTGGTCTTCTGCTCCTGAGTGAGGACTAACTTCTTTAAGCCTGACGTCTTCTCCTCTGCTATTTCTGACCTTCCGTCTCCTTTCCTGGGCCCAGTACTCCTTTCTCTTGCGTTTTCTCTAGCCTTGAGAGATAGCTGTTGTTCTGTCAAACATTTATCCTTCCTTCCAGTAGAGTGTAGGCCTCTGTGGATGTTCCTAGTGTCCCCAGGAGAGGCCTCCACTTCCTGACACCCATCAGAACCCACCTCTCCAGGACTGTGTAGTCTGGGGCTTATGAGGCCATCTTCACCAGGACTTACCAGGCAGTATTCTGCCCGCTCCAGGACTTCATGTTGAGGCAGGTATAATGGAATTTCATTGGGTGCTTCTTGGGCCCTTGTTTGCCCTTGTTTGCTGGAGGGACTAAAATGACCTCTTGAGACCTGTGAGGGGTGGTGGTAAGCTGTTACCTAGAGAAGATGGGCAAAAATAGCAGTTATTTAAAAATTCCCGTAATTATTTACATGGGGGAGACAAATCTCAGTTCACATCTCCCTTCCTTACCCTCTCTTCTTAACAAGTCCTTCAGATTTCAGATAACCTAAAGAATTCTGTCTAGGATGATTTCAAAGGGCTATTCCTTTTTCTAAATGGCTGCCTTGGGATCTGTTCAGATCTGCTTGGAGCCTTCACCCATCATTACCCATCACAGGCTTTTCCAAGTCCTAGAGTAGGTGGGTAGGAAACCAGAAGGGAAGGCAAAGGCATTGACATTCCTTCTGGCAAATTGCTAGGCCAGCGTGGGTTGGACTGGCCCAGTCTTCATGGGTTGCTGGACACACAGGGGAGGACAAGACTCCCCCTTCCCTTAGCTCACTCAGCCATGCTCCTTACTAACTCCTATACATTCCTCCAACAACAGAGAAGCAAAAGCTTCCTCCTGGAGACTCTTAAGGGCTAGAGCTGTGGTTGGTAGAGGGGTGGCCTTCGAGACTTCCAGTTGCCCTTCTATACCTGATTTATACCTTGCATTATTGAGAAAGTAGCCATTTCCAGTGTGAACAAAACACACAGCTGGTCTCTAGGAGGAGAGGCTATGTCTTGCCAAGAGCTCTGGTGCACAAGGGGGAGATCACTGGGACATGAACTTCACAAAGACATGAACTTTTTCTGTCTTGAACTCTACTTTCCAGAACCTAGAACATTGTTTGCTATGTAATAGAAGCTTAATAGTTACACATTGAAAGAATGAGTACAGCCTTGTATATCTCAGTGATGTCATTTTCTATTCAAGGGAGATGTTGCTGTCAAGGCTCTATGGATGCTACCAAAGGCACCTCACTCTGTGCCTGCTATCCTTCAGCTGTTAGCTCCTCAAAGTCGTGTATGAGTTCCTTAAGGGCATCCCAAGGACCAGCTATCTCAGTATTTGGCACCGATATTCCATAAACTTTGTCAAGTGAGTGAGTGAGTAGCTGTGCCTTTGAGAGGGCCTGAGAAGGAGAAGGATGAGCTTTCCCAAAAGGCACAAGTCCTGGGTGAGGCCTTAATAGAGCATCTCTCTGGCTTTGGATTTGCATTTGGGATGACCTAAATATGTTTCAAATTCAGAGTTCAGTGTGGAAAGTGTGAAGAGTACAGCAAGCTCGCCCTTCCTTTAACTGCAGAGCCATTAGTGCCACTTACCTGAGGTGAGGAGGAACCACTGGAAGTACCCGGACCACTGGCTGAAGAAGAAGATGGTGGGGTAGCAGGAGAAGACAATGAAGGAGAAAGAGAAGGAGACATTTCTTTTGGAGGCAAGCTAGTTCTTTTGTTGTTCACTGCTGTCAAATCTATCAAGAAAAGAACACATTCTCCATTACAGGGCTGTTCTTACCTTATCCTATCGTAAAAGAGGAGGTTTTGAGTAAAGTCCAATTTTATACACAGAGCCAGAGAGAGGGGAATGGCAGAGACTGATTTGGAGGTCCCAGGTCCCACGGCTTAGGACTTGGAGAGGAATGAGTGTAAGAATGGCACGACCCTATGGGGGAAAGGAGACCCGAGGGTGAAAAATAAAAGAATCATTGTATTGAAGACTCATGTGAGAATGTTCCCAAGAGATGGAACCAAGGAGTCTCCAGAGTGGTTCTTGGAAATGGACATCTACCTCTAAAGTTTCCATTAAAGCCATTGCGGTTTGGGGGCTGGGGCTGCGGAAGCAGTGGAGCTCTGTGTTAAATCACTTAGTCAATAAGCCATCTGAGGTCTCTTCCTACAAGATGCTGGACCATTAGCTGTGGGCACGGACAGGATAGACGTTCACTGCTAATGAAATGGTCTCTTCCTTATCACATGTGCACCAAGGGGCTCTCAAACAAGATGATTAGTTTGGGATTTTAAGAGAACACGAGGGAGTTTACAATAAGTATCAAATCATTTGAAGCACTGTGGAGCAGGGTCTATTTCAAGTTCTGGAACAAACCAGATGCAGCGTATATGCTCAGAGCAAAACGAGAAAGGAGTGTGGCTGGGGTCCTGAGGATGAGTCTAATTCCTAACTGCAGGGAGCTGAAATCAATTAGTCAGTTACAGCAGAATCCTGACAGTTGTAGCCTATAAGAACCAATCAATTCCATTCAGTCTCTCTCTCTCTCTCTCTCTCTCTCTCTCTCTCTCTCTCTCACACACACACACTCTCTGTTTCTCTCTCTCTCACACACACACAAACACACACCCACACACAACTCTCTCTCTTTCTCTGCCCTTCTCACCCAGATGGTAAGCTTACATCTAAAAATCTCAAGTTTTTTGTCTCCATATTGGACATTTCAGAGAATTTGTCCTTAAATAGATGCAGAAATATGCCACACACAATTTTAGATTTGCAGCCTAGCCAGCTCTCCCATGAACCATCCCAGCACATAGTGGATATTCCCTAGAAACTGTACAAGACCCTATTTCTAACCATCCCACTCTTATGTCAGACTCTTCTGTCTGCTCAGTTAATCCATTTAGATTTCTGGCCATATCCAGGCTTCAGATTTTAGCTTGTTTCTTAGTTCAACATAATCCCCTGGTTTTGGTTTCCTCAAAGCTTTGGGTGAGAGCCGTTTCCTCAGAGACCCACACAGGCCAGGCTACACTCAAACTCCACCCCAAGAAGAGTTCCATCGAGAGCCATTTCTATAGGAAAACCATGCTGCTGGGTTTTCAATATTCTGTCCTGTTCCTGTCACACACATATGCAGGCATGTCAGACAGTGTGTCCTAGTCTTGGGTTCTAAGAAGATGGCTACCACACACATATATCAGCAAACTCTTAAAGGGAAGCCCTCCTTGAGGGCTTCAGATGGAAAAGATAACTGAGGAGAACGGATCTGAGGGTAGACAGGAAGGAGCTGGTAGGGAGAAAGGCCACTGGTTGCCAGGAGATGAGGCGGGGGTGGTGGTTGGCCTGTCTCCCCATTACCAGCACACCCATCTTGGCTACAATTAGATGGTTCAAGCCTTAAAAGGCAAAAGTTGTGCATCCATTGTTGCCTTGCTTCCTGTGCTCAGCTTGCCAAATTCTTTCTCCTCCTCTTCCTCACCCCCTCACTCTCCTCTCTCTGCCACCTCCCATATCAAATCCCTTAACTTGCTTAAAAGACTCCTCAGCTCAACAGACTGCTTTCTGTTCTCTCTGAGGAGCTCAGGAAACCTGACATGGATCCAAGAACACCTTCAGAACCAAGGCAGATTGAAAACCTTTGGGGTTTCCAAGGTCACAATCTGGAAGCTGCTCTCCTTCTTATTCTTTCTCTGTCCCTCATCCCCTACAACAGCTAGTGGGAGTTTTTCTCTACACATGGTCCTCGTGCACTGTCATGGAGATAGAACTTAGGTTGAGCTTGGGTCAATGGAGGGGACAAAGTGCCTACCCAGGCCAAACCCCTTGCACCTAGTCAACCACTCCTGCCATGGCATGGGAGGTGGACACAGTCTGAGGAGGGGAAGATGAGGCCAGAGCCGAACTGAGATGTGATGGGGAATCTCACCTGCCTGAGCCAGGTGTTTCTGAGGACACCTTACGTCTTTGTGTTCCCTCAGAAGATGGTAGAGGGGAACCTGGAACCACCCCTTCACACTCACTCTAGTGTCTGACATTGGCAAGTTATCTAACTCCTGTTTTTTTTTCTGCTAGGGGGTGGTTGCAGGAATAAAATTAAATAAAAATCAAGACCATAGTCTCGGGGGAAATCAAGCTCAATTGGCACAACATACTTCACAAAAACATTGTTCTACATCCTTCTTTGGAGAGTAGTGACTGGAGTCTTAAGAGCTTATGAATGGCCATCTAAGATAAAACAACTGGACAATTGGTCTCCCCTCATCTGGAGGAAGGAAGAGTAAAGAAAATCAAAATCAAAGATGCATGGAAACATTTAGTCCAAGGGAGTAGGGGACCATGGGAACCTCAGCCCACATGATCCTACGACCAGAAGAACTAGATGGTGCCTGTCTACCACCGCCAGCAACTCAAAAAAGGATCAGAATTGGAGATCCTGGATAAAGTGGGAAAAAAATGTGGAACAAAACTCAAAATCATAAAAAAAGACAAGTCTTAATAGTCTGATAGAGACTGGTGAGACCCCCGAGACTATGGCCCCTAGTCATCCCATGGGGCTGGTACTGAACACAGTCCTGTGGCTTAACTTTCAGCCAAACAGTAGACAGGCCTACGAGGTGAACAGTTACACTCCTTAAAACCATCAGCCATAGGAGATCAGAGGACAGCATTTGTACAGAGAGAAAAGCTCAGAAGGTAGGGATGCATAGGAAAGAAGGACACAGGGAAAAGGTAACCACAGGGAGAAAGTGGGAAGAGAAATGTTACATCATGGGGAATGCAATCAATGTCATGAAACAAAATGTGTATAAACTGTTGAGTGGAAAATGAATTTGTTCTGTAAACCTTTACCCAAATCACAATAAAAATAAAATTAAAAAAAGAAAAAGAAGTATGTGGCAGTGCCAGGCACAAAGTGAAAGCAACATGGTAGCTAAATATTAATTTTATCTCTTTCCAGTCATCCATGAAGCCCTGGTGGTACAAATGGTTTGTGCCCATCTAGTAACTGAAAGGTAGGCGGTTTGAACCCACCCAGGGGCACTGAGGGAAAAAAGGCCTGCCTGGTGATCTGCCTCTACCAAGATTACAGACAAGGAAATCCTATGGAGCAGTTGTATTCTGTAACACATGTAGTCATAATCAACTAGAAGGGGACATTTATTTTTTTCCATTTTCACTTACACCCAAAACTGATGTTCAGTGAAGACTTGCTGAATCCCCAACCCATTCCAGAGGGGTGCACACCACCCTGGCCAGGATTTGTTTAACTTTTGGGCTCAGGAATTCCTTCCCAACTCACAGTCTCTGCTTGTCTTTTGTGTACTTCCTTGAAATCGTTGCATGGCCCAGACAGGGCTGCTCTGCCCTCTGCAGGGGTCTCAGTCCTCAATTATGCTGGCTCTTAAGGTCAAATGAAAAAAGACCTCCCTGCTGAGTGGAAGGGGGTTGATGAGAGACTAGGGCTTGGGTTTCAGCTTCCATTCCCAGCTATGGGTCAGATGCTTGGGCTACCTCTTCTCTGGGCTCTCTGGCAACGGTGACCTTTCCCTTCCATCCTAGAGGTCATTGTGGTGAGCACAGCTACCTGGGAGAGGGTGCCGAGGGCAGTCACACAGCACCCCCCACCCCAGTCCTGATAGGACACTGAATGCCTCTGGACAGAGGGAATGGTGCCCCATGTTCTGCTGTCTGTTACAGGGCTAGCTTGGCCCAGTGAGTTTCTTCCTGGGCAAAACGAAGATGCCCAAAAAGAAAGTTCCGGTTTCTTTCAGTTTGGGGGATTTTCATGGGGACTAGAATTTCAGAGGAGGATATCAGGGCAGGGTTTCCTGGAACTTAGGGCTTCTGCAGAGCTCAACTCTCCAAAGTCCTGGAGCGCTCTCTAGGGGCAGCAGCCTGCATGGGCCACAACCCCGCTTGCTACTCCACTTGTTCTTGCGCTCTCTTCAGCTGGCTTGTTCCTTTCTTCATTCAGCAAGGGGCAAACAAAAAAGACTAGAGCTGCCTCTAAGTCAGTCCCGTGCTAGGCCCATGCCAGTTATCATTGAGTCGGCTCCAACTCATGATGACCCTAGTGTGTGAGAGCAGAGCTGTGCTCCATAGGATTCTTAACTTTTTGGAAGCAGATCACCAGGCCTCTCTCCTGAGGTGCCTCTGGGTTGACTCGAACCTCTGAACTTTTGGTTAGCAGCCAAGCTTATTTATCACTGTACCACCCGCGGACTCCATGCTAGGCAGTGAGCTCACAGAAGTGATTCAAATTCAAAGCCCTGTCCTCAAACCAAGGAGCTCTGATGGTGTAGTGATTAAGGTGTTAGGCTGCTAACCAAAAGGTCAGTAGTTCAAACCTACCAGCTGCTTCATAGAAGAAAGATGAGACAGTCTGCTTCCATAAAGATTTATAGCCTTGGAAACCCTATGGAAGTCGCTATGAGTTGGAAATGACTCGATGGCAGTGAGTCTGGTTTGGTGTGAGTCCTCAACTAGCTTCTACCTGCATCTGACACTCCTAGGATGATTAGGGACACAGCTGGAACTTCAGGGCTCATTCCAGAAACTGTGAGGGTGTTTAACTGTCTTCTCTTTCCTGTGCCTTATCCAGCCCCCTTGACTCAGCCCACTGTAGGGATCTCCCACCAGTCTCCCTGACCTTGTGACCAAGCCCTCGGCAGGTGGTGCACAGGAAGATCTG